TTCACTGGATACACAATGATGAAGTTACAATAAAGAAACAACACTCATTCCACTCACAAAACTACCATAGTATTTCCAATTTGTGGATATGGTACTAACAATATTTTGATGACAATTTTATCCCAATAATCAATGCTTTATATTTTACATTGGGTCCCCCAATCTTGAATATATGGTTGCATACCATGTTTTTTAGACACTACCATGGTACTGAAAACTACCACAGTATTTCCAATTTGTGCTCATGGTACTAATTTATTCTGATTAGCTTTTTTTTTTTCTCCAATGATCAATGCTTTACATTTAGTCCCCTAATCTTGAATATATATATGGTTGCATCCATCTTAATACCATGATTTTTGCACACTGCCATGGTATTAAAACTGTTGTACCATAGTATTTCCACTTTTTGGACATTTAAGGATACTAACATTCACTGATTGGCATTTTCCCCCCAATGATCAATGCTTTACATTTTACATTTTGTCCCCCAATCTTGAATATGTATGGTTGCATCCATAAAACTGCCATGTTTTTCTGGACACTACTTTTTTCCCCAATGATCAATGCTTTACATTTAGTCCCCCAATCTTGAATATGGTTGCATCCATAATACTATCATATTTTTGGACACTAGTATGGTATCAAAACTACCATAATATTTCTAATTTGTGGACAGGGTACTAATATTCTGATTGGCAAATTTTTTCCCCAATGATCAATGCTTTACATTTTATCCACAATCTTGAAATCATAGCATTTCCAATTTGTGGACATGGTACTAATATATTCGGATTGGCTATATTTTTCCCAATGATCAATGCTTTAAATGTAACATTTGGTTCCCCAATCTTGAATATAAATTGTTGCATCCATTATAATACCATGTTTTTTGGACACAACCATGGACACTACTATAGTATTTCCAATTTGTGGACATGGTACTAACATATTCTGAATGCCATTTTTTCCCCAATGACCAATGTTTTAAATTTTACATTTGATTCCCCAATTTTGAATAGAAGTATGTTGGTTGCATCCATCATAATACCATTTGTTTTGGACGCCACTACAGTACGAATAGCCTTTGGACATGGTAATCATGGAAATACCACAGTATCTTTGGATCAAGTGAATGCAATGATACATGAAAGCCATCTGAAACTTACTATATCATGGTACCACCACAATCCGTTTTCATAAGGGCTCTGATTTCTTCCAGAACTTGTTCCCAGCATCCTGTTTTCCATTTCCTCTCTTCTCCTGCCGGCTTTCTATCCTCTAGCTCTCACCGGGGCTTTGCTTTGCTGGACTCGGCAGTCAGCCGTAAGAACGAGGCCAGTAACAGAGTGACAGCTGTAATTTTCTACTCGCGACCGGCACAAATTACTGTGCACACACAATAATATCACTGAGCGCCAATGGCCCTACCGCCACAGCGCAAGGGGAAGCTGAAGTTCCTCGTCCAGGATGTATATTTTCTGTCCTGGACATCAAATGTTAAGCGAGAGTTTGGTTTCAGGGATGTAACCTTACGTTTACGAAAACACACTGGCCATCTCGTAGATTACACATGACTAACACAGGGCTTGGGAGCCTCTTTTTAAGCACGGTGAGTTACGACATTGACAAAGAGCCTCACAAGTAACGTTACCGACAAAAGACTCGGATGGAGGTATCAACTACGTTCCTCGACTACGGTTCCGAGAATCACATGACAAGCACCACACCAGCACTGCTGTGCTCTACGACTCAACGATTCACGATTGAATGTGCACGAGTTTTAACGCGAAAACAAAATGAAAACCTAAAAATGCACAGGATCACAATAATAGATTCAGAATGTTGGAAGAAATGTCCCATCGCTTCGCTAATAAAGGGTACGGCACGCCTTTTAAAGGTCGTAAAATTATTCACGATTGTAGCTAATGTGCACATGCCTGGATTATCGTTTGTTTTACAAAACTTGGTAGCATCAAAACATCGTAGGGTTTTACAAATCATTGGAGTCTATCAACATTTGCACCTGAGATTTGATTTCTCAAAATACCTGTACTGGTCATTAGCGACGCTTAATGATTGACGATCTGTTCCGACTGTCTAGTTAAAATAGAAAATTACTTGTGTCAATGTGCCTGAAGACAAGTTCTCGCTCTAAAGGTGGGATTGGACCACGTTTAAAGGACAACTTTGCGATTGTTTTAATGCCACCTGGACATCACGTTTAAAAGACTCTCTTGCTCTCTCGTAAGGACAAAGGGTTGGAAATGTATCACAAATTGTTCTAAATACATACTCAGAAACAGGAAAGCACATTGGAAAAAGAGAAGACAGGTGTAGTACGCTAGACCAGCGGTTCCCAACCCTGGTCCTGGAGGCACCCCCACACTGCACATTTTGCATGTCTCCTTTCTCCGACGCACCAATTTCAGGTCTTGAAGTCCCTACTAATGAGCTGATGATCTGAATCAGATGTGTCTGATTAAGGAGACATGCAAAACATGCAGTGTTGGGGTGCCTCCAGGACCAGGGTTGGGAACCACTGCGCTAGACGACATTAACGATTCGCGTCAGATTAATCAACATCCTGGTTTAAGGCCCATTCATGCTAAGAACGATAACTATTACGATAACCATATTAACATCCACACCAACAGACAATAACGTTCTGACGATAACGCTGCCGTTTCACCATCTGCTGCTTTGAATCCTCAAGCTCTTTAAAGTCAGATGAATTCTGATTCCCTGTAGATGTTTTTATCATTTACCACCTGGAAAACATTGTTCTAAAAGTAATTGCAATAGTGCTGTCAAACGATGAATCGCTATTTATATTACATTTTTATTTACATAATATATGTGTGTGTACTGTGTATATCTATTATGTATATATAAATACACACATACAGCATATATTTTGAAAATATTTACATGTATGTACATGTATATATTTATATTCATATAATTTATATATCATATATAAATATATTTAATATATAAACATAACATATTTTTCTTAAATATATACATGTATGTATGTGTATTTATATATACATAATAAATATACACAGTACACACACATATATTATGTACACTAATGATTGCCTGTAGATGCTTTTATCATTCACCTGGAAAACACTGTTCTAACAATATAGCTCCTCAATGCCGTTATCGTTGTAGCTGTGGCGCGAACTTCCATGTTCTCTTATAGTTAGCATTATATCTCTTATAGTTGGTATGAACGGGCCTTTAGTCTCTGGGATCGTGCGATCTTCGTAACGTCACACGACTGACACGACTGTGTCCGGTTCGTCCGGTATCTTGGGCTTGCTGGGAAGCGATTTCAGGTACTCAAGGTGTCGTCTTGCGTCTTCCTGGTTCTGCCGTACATAGTACACAACGTAAGAGATAATCATCG